TGGCAAGTCGCTTCTCTCGATGTCTACGCGATCCGTGCCTTTTTACCGGCTTATTCGAATAAGACGTAAACAATAACATGCACCCCGGACAAAGGAAAGACGAAACAATAACTCGGTTACGAATAACTGATGTTCACTTTATTAGATTAAACCGAATACACGGGAGGGATTTGCCGAGAGACTCACGCACGCGAATACGATTGACAATGCAAACGAGGGGAGAGAGAGAGAAAAACTCGCGACCGTCGCGGTCTAAGCGCTCGCACGCTTTAAACAATTTCACCGCACACGCTGCGCGGGATCGCCTACAAACAACAATAAATAATTTTGAGCACCTACCGCGGATCAGATGGGGATACGGTGGCCAACCGTATCCGGCGCACTAGCTGTTGATCGGACGCTTCGATGCTCGCCGCTCTCAAGCTCGCTGTAGCGTTGCTGCCGGGACCGCTGATGCTGCCCAAGTCGTCGTCGAGGTAACGCACCTAGTATTGCAGGTGTCGGAGCCGCGCATGTTGAACAGTGCGCGAACTCGTTCCACCGCACTGTTTATTGTCACTTGTCGTCACTGCACACGCCTCGCTATGTGCACACCCACTGCAGCACTCTCTAACAATGAATCCCGGCTTCCTGGATCTCACTCGAAAATGTCCAATGTGTTGGCAGCGCAAAATGATAGCTAAGCTCTCGCCGGACTGAGTGACACAGTCATACTGGCTTACGAACTCTCCCCTCCCGGTCATTGCCCCTACGCGCCCTCTCTCTCTCAAACCGATCGCGGCTGCTACGCTCAGCCGCTTCTTAACCTACACGAGTCAAAACGATTTTCGGTAATCGTTGCAACATATTCAATATATATATATGTAAACAATATATATAAACACAATACAATACTCGTATTGCTTATGCGCAAAATCTGGAGGATATTGCGACAAGAAATAAAGCTGACGAAATTCTAGCTAACAAAGCTTGGGAAAGAGTGCAAGCTAAAGATAGCAGTTTTGGTGAGAAAACAGCTGCCTTCACTGTAGCTAATATTATGAAAGTTAAAAGTAAGCTTGGTATGGGTGTTGATATGAAGAAAGGTAGTAAGAAACGAGGTAGACGATTTAAAAAACGCCAAGCACGAAAAAAATGTAGAAAAATCAAAAAGCCGTCAGTTACATTGAATAAAATTATTAAGACGGTCTCGAAAAGTAGTGTGCCTAACAATCGAGCTCTTGTAGTTATTCGTTCGGCTATAAAAGGAGCCAAAGAAGCTGTGAAAAATGCTGGCGGTAAAAGTAAAATAAATATACCGCGTATTTTACCTATTCCCAGTAAAGTTGGTGGAGCGCTTCCTTTTTTAATTCCATTATTTGCTGCTTTAAGCGCCACTGGAGCTCTAGCTGGAGGAGCTGCTTCAATAGCAAAGGCCGTTAACAGTGCTAAGGCCGCTCAAAATTAATTGAAAGAAGCTCATAGACATAATAAAACTATGGAAGCTATTGCTATTGGTATAGAACTTTATTTGAAACCATATCGTAAAGGTTATGGTCTTCATCTGAAACCATATTCAAGTGGAAAAGGTTTAAAAAAAAAGCTCGAAGTAACTTTACCTAATCGAGCACTGACAGATCATGATATAAGAAAATATGCTAAAATACTAAAAATTGCAAATTTTCGAGGTGTTTTCATGCGTAATGTTCTGCCAGCCGATGGACCACGATATAAAGAGACAGCTATTGTAAATTTAGATGATAAACGTGGACCAGGAACTCATTGGGTGGCATACAAAAAGAAAGGTGATGAGGTTATGTATTTTGATAGTTTTGGTAATCTACAACCGCCTATAGATCTATTGTTTTATCTCAAAGTTAATAGAATCATGTATAATTATATTAGATATCAAGATTTTAATACATATAAATGCGGCCATCTTTGTCTCAAATTTCTTTTAAACAAACTATAAAAAAGACGACTAGTATATATAAAATACTCATTCAAAGAATGATTATCATTTGACATGAATCTGTCATGGAGAATACACTGACATTGAGTCTCTCGGGAACATCATCCGTACTCGAAACATATTCTTTTCCACCGATCGAATTGATACCAAACAAAAAATACGTTCTTGGTCTAGTTGAGCTATTAACATTTAATTCAATACCAAACATTGACGTTGGATATAATAAGTTTTACATTGAAGGTCAAGAAGCTTTACCGACTGGTAGCTACGAAATAGAAGATATTGAAAGCTTTCTCAAAGAAGCATTAGCATCTAAAGGTATATCGTTTAGCCTGAAACCAAATAATAATACTTTATGTAGTGTCATTCAGTGCAGTCAAAAAAATACATTTTGAACCAGAAGATTCTATTGGATCAATTTTAGGCTTCACTAGATGTACGCTCGTTAAAAACGAAACAATAGTTCTGACTTACCCGTCACTATTCTCAAAGTCAACGCTTTACGTGTAGAGTGTAATATTACTACAGGCTCTTACATAAACGATCGCAAAGTACATACTATATATGAATTTTTCCCAGCAGTCCCACCTGGATATAAGATTATAGAAGTTCCCTCTCAAGTCATTTATCTTCCAGTCGCTGTGAGGAGCATTGATCATTTTCAAATTCGTATAGTTGATCAAGACGGAAACCTAGTTAACTTTCGAGGAGAAGTCATCACAGTGCGAGTACATATAAAGACCATATTTTAGTAATGGGTATCATTTACAACATAAAGACCGGTCGAGGCTATATTAAGAGACAAAAATGTCAATCAACAGCCAGTCAACAGCGAGCTATCAGACCGCTCACACCTCAGAACAGTCAATTCCTGAAAAGCTTGAGACTGAAAATCGTTGAAAATCGTGGAAGAAAATATTGTGCATATTAGTGTGCTGTATAAAACAACAACAACAATATGGAGGGAATTCTAGACATTCATTCAGCTGTCGCTTTCGATGAGTCTATAACTCATTATGAAGTTCATGCGCATCAACCTTATTCATTATCATATTTGAACAATAGCGATGAAATCCATGTAGCAATTCAACATCAAGATTTATCTCAGCTTCCATCACGCATATGATTCACATTTGTGATCGGTTGACTAACCCGGACCGTACTACACTAGTGGAGAATTATTATTTATTTGTCAACGCTGCTCTCTGTCATTTATTCGAGGAAATACGATATGAAATAAATGCTATTGAAAGTGCTAAAGTGAAAAATGTAGGCTTAACGAGCCTCATGAAAAATTGGCTTTCGCTCAATCCATGTCAAAGCTCTATCGCTGAAAATGCCGGATGGAATGGTGATAACAATAAAATTTTAATATGTAACGCTCTAGGTTTTTTTGATGTGACTATCCCTCTCAGTATGTTGCTGGGCTTTGCTGAAGGTTATCGGAAAATTGTAGTCAATGTCAAGCATGAACTTATTCTCACAATATCAACAGATGATTTAAATGCTATTTTAAGTATTCTAGTACGAAAGGAATCCTGATGCTTCAGAAAAATCATAATTTACTTTAACTAAGGTTAAATGGTTGATGCCATTAGTGATGGTTGCAGACAAAGAAAAAATCAAATTACTCAATCAGATTGAACAAGATCGTGCAATTACTATGAGTTATCGTACTTGGGAAATGTATGAGTATCCAAAATTACCTCGTACATCAAAGCATGTTTGGAGTGTTAAGACTTCCAATCAATTGGAAAAGCCTCGCTTTGTTATTTTAGCTTTTCAAACTAAACGTAAAAGTTCAGCGAGTGTTAATTCTAGTAATTTTGATCATTGTAATATTAGTAATGTGAAGCTATTCCTCAATTCACAATGCTTCCCGATGGAAATCTCAATTTAAATATCAATCAAAATCAGTTTGCTGTTCTCTACGATATGTATACTAATTTTCAAAACGCTTACTATGGTAAAGAAAACGAGCCGTTACTCAATAAAAAGGATTTCATTAATTAAGTGCCGTTAATAGTTATAGATTACTCCAAACAAAATGAAACATTAAAAAGCGCTCCAGTCGATGTTCGCCTAGAATTTGAAACTCGGACCGATTTTCCTGAAGATACTGCAGCCTACTGCTTAATATTACACGATCGTATTGTACAATATAATCCAATTAGTGGTGATGTTAAAAAATTAGTTTAAAATTAACAAGACATTATATCATCAATGTACACAATGCTTTTCAATAAAAAAATAAAATTATATATATATATATATACACTATATATATTGTTAGAATTTAATACAAACTACCTATAATCATAGAGAGAGAAAGAGAGAGAGAGAGAGAGAGAGAGAGAGAGAGTTTGGGAGAGAGAGAACAGCATCCACACTAAACGGCGTACGCACCTAGCAAGCTAGAGACGCTACCCCCTCTCCGAGGGCCTAAACTTAGCCAGCATAAGCTTACTATGCCCCCTACTATAAAAGGAGAATGAAAGAGAGCTTACTAAATATCCTACCAACTTCTACAGCATCCTACCTTAATAACCTCTGTAGGTGGGTGTGGGTGGGTGGGTTGATGAGGGTAGGTTGGTGGGTGTGGGTAGGTGGGTGGAGTAGGTGGATGGGTGGTTGGGAAAGGCACTCTGTCGGAGGGTCCACTGGCAGATCCAATCAGCGGTGATGTGAAGAAATTAGTTTAATATAGTTGACTCTCTAAATAAATTGGAATTAATACAATTAAATATAAGCTAAATAAATTTAAATGTGTAACATACAGTACATCACGTTAAATTTTATCAATAAAAGCATTTAATTTTAAATATTATAATAATTTAATTTAAATATATAATACCTAATCATAACAGCATATGTAACTCTCTCTCTCTCTCCCTCCCTCTCTCTCTATCTCTCTACCACTAGTTCTCTCACTCTCTCACTTCTTTATTTCCCTCTCCCTAATTAAAAAAAATAAAGCATAATAATTATAACAAAAAACAATATTATTTTATTTTATTTTGTCCTCTTTCTTTTTATGCGTTCCTACTACCTTGAGGAGGCGAGTCGGCTTTCTCGTTGTCGGTTCAGCGGGAATCATGATTATTCTACGCCGAATAGCCTCACTACTCTTGATTTGTGGCTTCTTCGGCACAGTTCTCTGTAAAATGTTAAAAATATTAATTAATTTTGTTTAAAATAAACGCATAAAATATATAAATTTTATAATAAATATAAGTGTTTTCTTACCTTAGTAGACAAATCAATTGCCTCATCATGTTGTAAAATGTCAAGCGAAGGCATCGATGATGTTGCAGACGCAGATGTGGTAGACGTAGACGTAGATGAGGCAGACGTAGACGATGCTGACGTAGACGACGATGACAACGTCTCCGATGCTGAAGATGATGTAGATGAAGGCGACGCTGATGACGATGATTTTGCTGCAACTAATCTTTTTTTTATTTTGTCCGCTAATTCATCCTACACCGTCTTGGCCAGCTCAGCTTTTCTCTTGCGCTCTAATCATGAGAATTCTTCTTTTTTTCTCATTATTTCTGCGCACTTCTGGCGACATAGCTGCGCCCTCACTCGCTCTTCTATAGTCTTCTCAATTTGATAGGCCAATTGTTATGTGACCAGTCTTTCAGTCATTGATTCTTTGATCCACTGAAAAATGAAAAATCTGTATAAGTACATGTATAGAATTAAATAATAATACTAATATACTTACTTCACGAACAATCGCAATAATCTAGGTGAGTTGGGCAACGTGTTGTGCGTTGCCTGCACACCTAAGCAACTGAAAATAAATAAATAAATATTTAAATATTAAATATTAAATAATATAAAGAAGACCTTACTGCGTTTAAAATAATAATGAGCAGTCGATACAGCAGCTCACGCGGGATAGCGTTAGTACTCTGTAAATTATAATTAAAAATTATTAAAATTATATATATATATATAATTATTTTTAATTTTTAAAATGATTACTTACGGTTTCCAGAAGCTGACAAACATTAACAATACTTTCCATTTTCACTAACACAAATTTTTTTACACAAATAAATAGAAAAACTAATTTCATAATGTGCTATGACTAACTCGATGTTTGCCTTGAGACTGACCGTCAAAAATCCTACCGAACGCTTGTAATAATAATATTTTTCTACAATATGGAGTATTAGATAAAGAGGGTTGGTAGCAAAACATAGCTGCTCTCTTTTTCTCACTTCCGGAAAGTAGTGGAGAAGCTTGATCATCCTCAAACCAGCTGTGATCTATATTTGTGATAGACATAGTTAACTTTAGATAAGAGGGTAGGTAGTAAGCATAGCTGCATATGCGCTCCTCTACTCCTCCGCGCTGTGGTTCACGCTGAGTCAGAGCTACAGAGAGGGAGAGAGAGAGAGCACAAATCCTCAAGTTACAACTATAGACAGCATGCGCTCCTCCTCCTCCACACGCTCAGGCCCAAACCAAATGTATGCGTGTGTAGCTAATATACACAATATGCATCCTCTAAGGTACATGTGGCATTGGCTCTAGTGGTAGAACACTAGCCTGCCAACCCGGAGAATTCCGGTTCGATTCTCCGATCTGTCTCTTCATTATTTTCAAAAATCATCGCTATTTTCTACTCGTTTCATTTTCAATAAAGCAAGTAAATTGTCAATAATATACATTTATAACTTTTTAAAAAAATACATTTAAATTTAATTAGACTGAAAGCACTAGGTATACGGTCCATAGGGACTAGGAGCCCTAGTAACTAGAAGCCCTAGAAACCTTCCTCAAAAAATTATAAACAATTATTAACATTAATAATAATTAACATTGAAGCGTTAGGCCAGGGAATCAAAGGGTTAAACCAGGGACCCCCCCACGAATATTGTTAATAATAATTATTAACATTAACAATTATTATTAACAATACCTCCCGCAGGTGTGCTGGAACATACATTGCTATATTACTAATATATACAATTGTGCGCGTAGCACCAACAAATCCAACTACTTATCATTTGAAAGGTTATCAAAATAAGCCTATCCTATGTGGCTTCTATGAACAGGAACTTCAGAAAACCAAATATCCTGATATCTATCTAGTAGAAAAGGTTATTGAGAGGTGTGGTAATCAAATTTTCTTAAAGTGATTAGGATTTGATTATTCGCACAATAGTTGGATAAATAGAACCGAATTGTAAAAAAAAAAGAAAACTATGTAGATTGAAGAATTAATAAATAAACACACATATTTTGATTTGATAAAATATAAAGAAAGTTTATTTTTTTCTTTTTTTATTATGCGTACATTGATATATATATATATATCGGTCTGTCCAACAGATTTTTAAAAAAAGCTGTGAAGGTGGGGTCAACCGATCTTGGCGGCGACTTTTTCTATGGTAGTACATGCAACAAGAGAACTTTTGGCTATCTCAGTTTTTTTTTAAATATATATATATATATATATATATACCGAAATATATATTGTAACAGGCTGCCGTTTAACCTCTAATCTCTATCGAATATGATTATTCGTATGGTCTAACGACGCCGTGTTATCTATGTGCTGTAAGCACACTAACTCACCTTGTCCTGGTGTGCGCCTGCGCCGAGTTCTCTTACCGTTCTAAGTTGGATTCTCGATCTCTCCGCTAGGGGCGCTGGCGCGCTCGTTTAGCAGCGCTCCGTCGGCCACTGCTGACAACTCGGTTGGCGAGCAGCTTCGTAGGTTGCTTACGTGATTCGTGCTGAACTACCGGCGCGTTAGAATCGAACGTAAACAATAACACCGCTTTCGGACAAAGGGAAGCCAAAACAATGAGATCGTTGCGTGTTAATCTCTGATCACTTTATTTACTTAAAACGTGTATAAGAGAGGGATTTGCCGAGAGATTTTCGCAAGCTATTTCGAATGACGATTTAATCGGGGAGAGAGAGGGTGAATCTCGCGATCGTCGCGGACTATTCGCTCGCACGCTTATAATAATTTCGCCGCGCGGGATCGCCCGCTAATTACAATAAATAGTGCTATGCACCTACCGCGGAATCGAAGTGGATACGGTGGTCAACCGTATCCTTCTAAACTTGTTGGATGACGAACCGCCTCTGCATCTGCTCCTGCGCTGGGGCTGACTCGCTGCTGCTGATGTTGCCGAGGTTGCTCTAGCAACTGCTGAAGCCGCGCACGTTTAACAGTGCGCGCACTTGACACTCCTCTCACTCCACTCTCACTAATTATATGCTGCACTCCCTGGATCTAACTCAGAAAACGATAAAACACGTTGGGATCTCGAACTCAATCGCTATGATGCAGCCGGACTGAAGGTCACAGTCATACTGGCTAGCTAACTCTCCCCTTCCGGTCATTTCCCCCAACGCGCCCTCTCTCTCTCTCTCAAACCAATCGCGGCTGTTACGCTCAGCCACTGAGTAACCCACGCGAGTCTAAACGATTTTCGGCAATCGTCGCAATATATATATATAGATAGGTAAAAAAATGAGCCTTTTTTTGGCCATATTTGAAGACCCATAACTCCGTGAGTTTTGAAGATATCAGGATGGGCGACCTCTCATTCTATTCGTCTTTTCATCTACTTTTAAAAACATGGCGGTCAAAAACCTGAAAATACACTCTGCTGGATGTGCCCGCTGGTTCATTGCACTCATAATTGCTTGATTTTGAATCATACTCACGGGCTCATAGTTCCGTCATTTTAACATTTTTTGAAAAATTAGAAAATATTTTTTTGTTTGCCTTAAAAAGAGCTTTAATTTGCGACCCCGTCCATCTCGCTAGCTTAATTAGGACCAAAGATATGCGTATTCAAAGTTTGCTATTATTCCGAAAATAGCAAAATATTGCTATTTTGAAAGTACATTTAAAAAATACGAACATCATCTTTTTCATCAAACAAGGTTTTTCTAAGCAGTTCTAGTATTGTAGAATATAGTCCTATAATAACATCGGTGGACTTTTGCTTCCTCGTTGACTTATGTGATTTTTCAAAATCACTAATTTCGGGTATTTTGAAAAATTATCTACGGTTTACTATTGTAATTAAAATTGTAATAATGACTTGATTTCATGGTATTTCACTTTTAGTTCCTGTTTCATAACTAGAACTGTATCAGTACGTTTTGCTTACTGTGGTTTGCACGTGCTATTGGGGTTTGACCTGTAGAATGACGCGACTTCTCGTGCCGATAAGCATAAACAAATGAAATTAAGGCTCAACATGGGCAGGAATGGGAACAAATAATAATTGTTGAAAATTATTGATATCAGACGAAATGTGTAAATTGGACGATGTCAATAATAAATGAGGGCGATTTGGTGGAGATAGGTGAACACCAATTTTTCCAAAAAAAAATCGTAAATCATCGTTAAAGTGTCCCTATTACTTTTTTACATCAACCTATTTGCATATTTCGTTACAAAATATCGATAATTTTGATAATTAATACTTATGTTGACCATGCTAAGCTTTACGTCTGTTTTTCCTTACCGACGTGAGAGGTCGCATCAGTCTACAGGTCAGAACCCAATTGATTGAGTTGTAGGTTATAGTCGACGTCAAGTAAACAAGCCGAAAGCTAATAGATTTATTTTAAGAAATAAATAATTAATCCAATAATTTTACGCTGCCCTATCAATTGTTCACAAGCTTATTGATTGCTCAGTCTTTTCGTACATATTGACGAAATATAGATAATTAAATTTGTTTATTAAACCATTTATTTATTTCTTCTTTTACATATTCATGAGAAATCGAGCAAACCAAAACAACCTATGAGCATTCGATTGGCGAGCTTAAGATTATTGAAAAAATCTTTTTATTAGCAGAGCGGATTGTGTTCGCTTCATTGCTTGCAGCTGATCGTAAGTATCAACGATAGTAAATCAAAAGTTCTAATGCAGCCCTGTATATCGTTGGAGACTGTTACCGAAATTTACATATATAGATATTTTTTGTTATTCTAATGTGAAAAATGTTATTTGAATAGTTTGTATAAATCAATTATTCAAGTGTCAATGCACTGATTTTCGTTTTTCTGCAGGCTATTCTCGTAAGTGTTTTTTAGTAATTTTATTTTTGAGTATCTGTGGCTTACTTAAAAAAGCCGGCTAGTCAAACAAATTTTTTTCTACGTGATCCATGAATCTTATCTTTATTTCTTACTAGTACAATTGAAATATTTCTAGACTTTATATGTATACTTTTATAATTTTATAAGATTACACGGAAATAGTTCATATTGTATCAATTATATTAAAAACTGCCAATATTGACAAGAATATTCAAACAGTCTCTATTCGACAATGCACTGCAATTTTCATTACTGTGAAACTTCATTACTACGAAATAAACAACGTAGTCTATATACATTAGTTAGAAAATTACTGTCAAAGATCCCATAAACATTCGACGAATGTTTATGGAATCTTTGAGAGTTAAATTCCTATTAGAGAAAATTAAAACTTACAAAGAATCTTTATGAGTTTTAATTGTTGGGATCTCAGTCACAATTTTGTCTTTTTGAGTTATATTTCATTAAAAAAGTAATAAACACTTGGGCTTAAAGTTAAAGAAATGATTTGTTCAATAATAGTCGTAGTAATTGTAATGACTGATTTAAATACTTTTTATTTTAGTATTTTTTAGAAAATAGGAGTTTAATGGTTTAAAGGTAACGTTTCAAAGAGATTGTGATGAAATATAAATATTTAAGCATCGCAAGTACTGATTGTTTTTGTAATGTGTATCAGATTTATTGATGATTCAAATGAAA